TTGTGAGTGTCGTGCAAATGTGCCTTCACTTCTACATCAGTTCTCTACATAACCGATGTAAATATGCTTACATCTTTTATTTATTTACAAAATTGTCACCGCGTTTCTTATTTACATCGATTCTATTGAAATCGATGTAAATATAGCGATGTTAAATAGTATTTTTCTAGTAGTGTATTTATATGGATTCTTAAAAGTAAAATAAAAATAGTTAAACCATCAAGTTAGATTCTATGTAGATAAGTTTGTTAAGGGCCTTACTAGAACTAACGTGATTCGTGGACACACATGTTACGTGGATCAATTTAAAAAATGGTCACATTGAGTCAAATTGAATTTTATAAAGTATGTGTATGGTGCAATTAGGTTCCTGTACAAATTAATTAAAATTTATTTCATAAAACTTTGACTAAAATAACTTTATATAATTATTGTAATGTTTTTATAATTTAAAAATATTATTTATAATTAATCCTTAAATTTATTTAATTCATATTATATAATAATTATTCATAAATTTAAATTATCTTTAAATTAATTTTTATTAATGAAAATAATTTTGGCATTCTTAAAATTAAATTTTTTAAAATGTTTATATTTAAAAAAAATAGAGTTGTTATATCTTTGAGAGAGAGATATGGCCACCAGTTACAATATTATTTGGTCTGGTCCCAAGTTAGATGGAAAATTAGATTTTAGTTATTGGGAGACTTTGATGGCCACACATTTAAGAGCTCACAACATTTGGAGCTTTGTTGAACCGGGATTAGCAGAAGGAGCTGATGATATTGCTAGAAGAAGAGACCAATGGCGCTGTCACAAATTCACCAAGGAGTAGATTATTCCATTTTTGGCAAAATTGCAAATGCCAAAATTGCCAAAGAAGCGTGGAATATTTTGAAGTTGTCATATAAAGGTGTAGAGAAAGCTCAAAAATCCAAGTTGCAATCTTTGCAAAGGGAATATGAAATATATTAAATGTCGAATTCTGAATCCGTGGAACAATATTTTTCACGAGTTACAGATCTCGTCAACAAAATGAGAGTATATGGAGAAGATATTCCTGAAAGCAAGGTGGTGGAGAAAATTCTACGCACCATGCCGATGAAGTTTGATCATGTGGTGACTACAATAATTGAGTCCCACGACATAGAAATCATGACAGTTGCAGAATTGCAAGGTAGCATTGAAAGCCATGTGAGCAGAATCTTGGAGAAAACTGAGAAAATAAATGAAGAAGCATTGAAAAGCCAGGTGAATTTTACCAACATAGCAGAACCCAGCTGAAGTGAAGACAGTAGAGGTCGTGAAGGTGGAAATATAAATTTCAGAGGTAGAGGTCGTGGTAGTTTTAGAGGAAGAGGTCGTTGTAATTTTAATCAACAATGGAGAGACAACAATTTCAGGCCATCTAATCAAGGAAGAGGTGGACACAATGTCAGATCTACCAACCGTGGAAGAGGAAGAGGCAACTTCACCAACTAGGAGAGGACAAATTTTAATTGCTACCACTGTGGAAAGTTCGGGCATAAAGCTGCAGATTGTAGACTCAAACAACAAGCAAATATAGCATAAAATCAATATGAGCATACTGGTGAGGGTTCTGATAATCCACAAACCTTACTTCTAGCAACAAATAATTTTTCAGGCGATGAAGCCATTTGGTACGTATGGTCACTATGAATATGTTGTGATGTCATTTGGTGTGACTAACACCCCTGCAGTGTTCATGGATTACATGAACAGGATCTTTCGGCCATTCTTGGATAAGTTTGTTGTGGTGTTTATTGATGACATCTTGATCTATTCAAGGACCCCGGAAGAGCATGGTGAGCACTTGAGGTTGGTGCTGGAGATTTAGAAGGCGAAGCAACTGTACGCTAAGCTTTCAAAATGTGAGTTCTGGTTGGATGAAGTGAAGTTCTTGGGCCATGTGATTTCAACTGAGGGGATTGTTGTTGATCCGGCTAAGGTGGAGTCAGTGTTGCAGTGGGAACGTCCAAGGACTGTCACTGATATTCGGAGCTTTGTGGGTTTAGCGGGTTATTGAAGGTTCATTGAAAGATTCTCTAAGATAGTAGCGCCTCTGACCCAGCTGACGAGGAAGGAGCAGCCGTTCATTTGGACAGATGCCTGTGAGCGGAGCTTTGATGAGTTGAAGAGGAGGTTGACTACTTCTCCTATGCTGGTGTTACCAGATTCTGGTGAACCCTTTGATGTGTATTGTGATGCTTCTCACCAGGGTTTGGGGTCCGTGCTGATGCAAAACAGGAAAGTAGTGGCCTATGCTTCAAGGCAACTGAAGAACCATGAGAGGAATTATCCCACTCATGACTTGGAGTTGGCAGCTGTGGTGTTTGCCTTGAAGATTTGGAGGCATTACTTGTATGGTGCTCGGTTCAGTGTCTTCAGTGATCACAAGAGTCTGAAGTACTTGTTTGATCAGAAGGAGCTGAACATGAGGTAGAGGCGGTGGATGGAGTTTCTGAAGGATTATGATTTCCAGTTGATGTATCATCCTGGCAAGGCCAATGTTGTGACAGATACGCTGAGTAGAAAATCCATCCACATGTCTGGTATGATGGTGAGGGAGCTGGAACTGGTGGAGAAGTTCAGAGATTTGAATCTCTGTGTGGAGTTAGCTCAGGATCACATTAGCCTGGATAAGTCAATTTATTTTTATATCATATATATATATATATAAAACATAATTAATAATATAAATAATTAGATAATTTTGCATTAAAAAGAAGATCATCAAATTATTAATAATTTTACATTTTTATTATATTAAACATTTTATATTTCTTTAACTAGTTTTTTTATTTTAAACTCTAAATCTTAATAATAACAAAGTAAACTATTAGTTTATCATACAAATTAAAAAGACTTATCATACAAATTAAATATAGACACGTACATATATTTAAAAATATAATTGACATATTTACAATTAAATTTATTAATTTATTTGTTCTTACCGGGGATCTGAGGTGGAGTTGATCCGCTGGGTAAGGTCGGTGAGCCTCCTTCACTAGTACGCTTGATGTTCCAAGATGGGGGTGGTACCTGCAAAAGAGACTCCGATGCTAAAGTTAGGGTTTGTGGGAGTATGAGTCTCGTATAAGTAATGCACGTACCTTGGTGTGAATTAGGGTTACGTTGGGCCTTGGGCCCGAGATCAGTTGTGATCTGCTTAAGTGTCAAACTGACGTCATCTAGTGCGTGTCCTTGCTTTATGCTCGAGATGCCAAGTTTGAGCTCGGCTAGGCAATAGGGATAGTACACTAGCCCCCCGAGCTCCGAAGACCGTAGGTCGAGGAGTTAAGTCCGAGCTTGCCAAGGGGTAGTGGCCTTTCACGTATGCCTGTCTGTCAAGATGCCACGTGTCATAACTGTCGCCTCGTTCTTGGAAACGTGTGGGCGGCGTGCTAATGAGCCTTGACGGTTTTTGTAATGATGGCCGCGCCCCTCATAATGGGCTTCATTTAATGTGTCGTCAGGTGTGACCCTTGGGCGACACGTGTTGTGGCCGTTTGAATTTTGGGGAAAAACCTTTTCTTTTCCTCGCGCCTCTTCCCATTCACTTTACTCTCTTTCGCTTTGTCTTCCTTCTTGACTTCTCCTACACGCTGCTTCCTGCGCCTCCGTTCATTCTCCATCTTCATTTTCTCTGTCTCCATCGTCGTTTCCGGTAACCCAATTGTTATTAGGGTCATTTTCTGAGGAAGAGTACCAGGTACTTCCTTTCTGCTGTCTTCTTTCTCCTTCTTCTCAAATCTTCTTTCATTTTTGATGACTAGAGAGAGTGGTGCCGGATCTTTCGCGCCTGCCAAGGCCAAGGGCAAGGCGCGCGGCAAGGCGGTGGCCGCCGAAACGGCCGCCGCCAAAAAGAAGAGGGCGGAGAACCCGCCCAAGGATCTCATCCCTGACATTCCTGGCTATGACTGGGTTAGCCGCGACGTGGGGTAGTTCCAGAGCGTGTTTAAGTCGTTCCTGGAGGTCAATGCGGTTCGAAGAACGCATAGGATCTGTGAGTCTTCTATCCTCAAGTTTATCCCTCTCGAGCCGTGTCGGCCCGATGAACGTGTGTATATGGGGAGTTATTTTGACCCTCCCCATTTCTATGTATATCAGTGTCTTTTTAGGGGTTTAGGTGTCTGCCTCCCCTTCACTCAATTTCAGTGCGATTTTCTAAACTTTATCAACTCGGCTCCTTGCCAGTTGCACCCAAATAGTTGGGGTTTTTTGCGGGCTTTTCAGGTCCTATGTTCAGTCCTAGGGATAGAGGTGTCTCTTCCTATTTTTCTCCATTTTTACCAATTGAAAATAGGGGTTCCTCCTTATGGCTTACTGTCTCTGAATGGGAGTAAGGATGTGATGGAACTACTTGGAGAAGGTTGATATTCTTCAAGTATTCCATGCAAGGACCGTGAGTTCTCTTGAGGTCACCTTCAATGACACTTGAAGCTCCATGAAGTGTTCTTTATGGAGTAGAAGTCTTGAAGAGATTCGGTTCTCCTTAGC